CCACACTTGACCAGTAGCGCTTAATTGTGCGTACCTCTCACCCCCTGCCCCAGGTCTTCAAACCAAAGCTCACGTCGGTACTCTAAAAGATGAGCTGGGTGGAAATGCTTGCTTTGCCTCTTCCCAGAGTAGCAGGGCTATGTTGAATAAATCCTTTCCTGCCTTTCACTGTTACTTCTGTTTGCTTTCTTTGGAGTGAGTAGCAGGACCTAACAGTTGGAGTCCCTGGAGTTGGGCCTCTGCCCTAGGTCTCTAGTTACAATGTGACCAAAATAACAAAGATCATTGTGTATTTGACTTAGACACACTTAAGTCATTAGAGGCCAGAGACCTTGACAGGAGAAATGTCAATTAATTTCATATAATGTCATCGGTATCTCCTTTCTGCCTTTCATAATTGCTTGCCTCTTAAAGCCACTTTTACATACTCGTGCTGATTTGAAATCAGACTCATGGAAAAAATGGGATGGGCAAGGCATGGTAGTACACACATGTAATCCCAGCTATGTGGGAGTCATAGGTAGAAGGATCTTGGTACAAGCCCAGCAAAAATGTGAGACCCTATCGGGAAAATAACTAAAAGGAAAAAAGGACTAGAGAGTGAATCAAGTGGTAAAGTGCTTTGCTAGCAAGTATGAGGCCTGAGTTCAAACTGCAATACTGTCCCTGTCACCCCCAAAAAAGACAAACAGGAAGAAACTGGAGCTTGCTTTGTTGTTCATAATAGATTACCTCAAGAATACAAGGTTATGTCCACCTCAGAACCAATGTTATTTAACTAAATATTTGATTCATTACACCTAGACAGAGAAGCTGATCAATTTTGAGAAAACTGTCTCCATTCCACAAGTGAGATGCATAGTTAGGGGCCACAGAAACCTTGTCAATGTGAGGAATTGTCTTATCAACTACTAGTGGGTTTTGTGTTTGATAGTGTTCTGTACTGAGATGGTGGATGTTTTTCTTTTTGGTTCTTAGATGGTAAAACTTAAAAGGTCATTGTTTTAAGGCAGAATTCTATTCTTACACTTTTGTCTTTAATATCAAAGCTGTGTTTTCATAGGTACTCTGAGTGAGTCTATAAGAGTATTGTAAGCATAAGTTAAATACAGCAAACAGATGAGATCCCACTGGACTCGAACAACTTATTAAGAGGACACCTGTGTCTTAAATAACATTTTTAAGCTTTTTTCTTTCAAGCAGAGACGAGGCATTTTGATTATAATCAACGTTTTGCTGAATTTCTTTTATTTCCTTTATTTTAAGGACATGAATATTGACAGTAAGGGAGTAATGATTACACTGGATACAAGATTTTGAAATGCTATATAAATTAAGATGACAAAAAGACCAATAGAATTCTGTGCTAAATGAGGTTTTGGCCTTTTTAAAACATGTTATAGGATATGTGAAAGTATACATTATTCTCATTTTGAAAATCAAGTGTAATATTGGGGTAATTTAAACAATTACTTAGGCAAAAATTTACTATGACTTGCTATTTATAAAGGCATTCATTTTTGTACCAATCTGGGGAAGTTTTCTGTCTCAAAATACCTTTTCAGCGTAACTTCCCCTCCACACACAACAGTGTATGGAGACAAATTTTCTAAGGACAGAGCCTCTTACTTGTGCAGGAAAACTGGCCCAAACATTCTTCTTTGAAAGGGGTGGGGTAGGGAGGAGTTTAATGGCAGTAACTAGTTTTAAAACAATGAACACTAGTACATGTACACAATCTAGTTATTGAATATTGGTGTGCTTTTTCCTTTCCTCTTGCTCTTGTAATTTAGGAAATTCTGGTAATGAAAAAAATATTTGGATATTACCTGGACTTCTTATATTTACATTTGGATAATCAACCTAGATTTTATTATTATCACTATACTTTTGTCTTTAGTGACATAATTTTCTTATCAATTAAAAGTATCTAACCAAAAAATTAAAAAGACTAGGATATGTGAGTAGGTTAAAAAAAAGTATTTCAAAAATTTTGCTGCAGAGCAAAAGCTCACGTAGGTTAAAGTCTAAAAGGTACTTGGATTTAGGTCAAATCCAGGTTTCTATATGCTTCTTCTTACTAGATTAGAATAAGGAGTGAGCAAACTAGATAAACCCATCCCTAACTTTGTGCTTGAATCACATTTGGGAACCAGTGTAGATCTGAGCTGTCCAAGTTCTACTTTGCTTTCAAGAACTGAGATACTTGTCTCTCCTCTTTGATGTACACCTTGCTCCCTGCCATGTTTTCTGCTTTTTTCTATTTTTGTAATAGCTTTATCTTAGTAATTAGTGATGGGTTTTCATCACAGACTCAAAGTACCTCAGAGTATAAGACATACATATTGACACTTGGACCTTGAAGGACAGCAGGTAACATATGTAGAGAGAATGTGGAAGAGTTTCCAAAAGGAGACCAGATTGAGAACACATGGAGATGTTTGTAATTGCATCTGGGTCTATTTATAATATATTGCAGTCAGAATTTTTAAGGATTCAGTATAAGTTTGTTTGTGAGAAAGGGGATTTTTGACCTTAGAAGCTGAGAGAAAATTGATTTATGGAAGTGGGAATGCTTCTTATTTCTGTTTATAAAAGGAATTTTTTATGATTTAGTCTTTTCAAAATGCAACGTGTCTCTAGTTATACTACTAAAAATTAATTATTTTAATCAGTGTACAATGTTCTTTTGTCTTTTCATACTGACTATTATACACTGGTACTTGGATTTGTAAGACTAAATTTTGAAAATACTGATAGGTGGATGTCACACATACTTTCTTGGGCTCTTATTTTTTTTCTAGAAAATGAGGAGAGAGGAATTAAGGCTTATATGTAAATAAGCATATTAACTTTGTACCAAGTTACCTCACTGAATTCTCTGATTTACATAAGATTTCCAGTCGATTCATTGATTTCTCATCACCTTTTACTTCTCTCTGGAATTTTACCAAACTGTTCAATTCTAAGAAGTACCATTTTATTTTTTGTTTTGCTTTTCTCTGCCTGAAATATCATTTATTTCTAGTTTTTCCCCATGTATTTCAATTAATTCTTCCAAACTAAGCCCACGTTTCCCACCTATAGAATATTTCTGGATTCCCAGGAAAGTTGCGTTCTCTTCCTGTGAACTTCAGCAGTACCACTGCATAGCTATCTTGGTCAATCATCAAACTTGCTGGTATTTTTTTATGTTTGTCAGTGCTTTAGGCCATGAACCCTTTAGGGAAAGGAACTGAGTCATTCATCTTTAGATCTCCAGTGTTTAACTGGATCTGCTACAATGATTATTTGTTACAGGATAAATATTTGTTTTATATATTTATATGAGTGGTCAATTTCTACAGATTAGAAAATAAAATTTGAAGTTGGATAACATTTTTATCGTAGATTTTTATAAACTTCTTAATACTTTCATTGCAACAGTTTTAAAAAGTCATTTTTAAAAGTCTTTTTCTAAAATGCAATGTCTCTATAGTACTAAAAATTAAATAGCTTAATTGATATACAAGGTACTGCTTCTGCCTTTTTTCATGCTAACTAGTGTACAATGGCACTTGGAATTGTAAGACTATAAATTTTGAAAATACTGAATAGGTGACTGTTACACTGTTTTCTTGGGTTCTTAATTTTTTTCTAGAAAATGGGAGAGGAATTAAGGCATATATATATATATATATATATATATATATATAGTTTGTTCCATATTGGTTTTTGAATTCATTGCTTTGTGCTTGCAAGGTGGATTCTCTACCACTTAAGCCACCACACCCCCATCCCTTTTTCCTTTGATTATTTTTGAGATAGTCTCATTTTTGCCCATCCCAACATGGACAGTCTCCTATTTATGCTTCCAGCAGTAGTTGGAATGACAGGTGGGCATCACCATGCCCAGGTTTTTCTGTTGAGAGTGAGTGTTGTCAACTTTTGCTTGGTGGCTTGGAACTGTGATCCTCCAGATCTTTGCCTCCTAAATACTTAGGATTACAGGTATGAGCCACTGGTGCCCAGCCCTTAGCCTTTCTTAAATGTAACATTTTCAAAATTTTTAACTTAAAGTGCTTTAAATAAAAACATAAGTAGTTACTGCTTACAGTTACTTTATTACATTTCATGTTTCAATCTATCACATCATTGAATTGGCTTTTATAATTTTTTCTGGTTATCATTTACTGTTGTAAGTTACTTAAGGGATTGTCCTAGTGAGTGCCACTGAAGACTATTTATTAAAATAATTATAATGTTTTCTCATTAAAGCAGATATATAACTTATCTAATAGCCAATGATAGTTCAGTGTTCACTGCAGTGAGAAATACAGAAATCTGTAGCATGCTTCCTTCTTGTAAGGAATTATAATAAATATACACAGAGATGAAACATGTAGCCAGGAGGAAAGAAGAAGACAATGGTACATTGTGGAATCAGCTGTATATATTGTATCAATTCAAAGAAAGAAAAAATTCTATGGGGGAGAGCGGTGAGGCAATTTGGGAGCAGAAGGTGGATTAGCTAGACTTGGAAGAAAGTAGGGCTTATCTGAATAGAAAAGCAGAACATACTAAATTTGGAAACAAATAGAATGAAGGACCCAAAAGTAAGAGGCATTATGATGTGCAAGAGTGAGATACCCATCTCCATGCTGACTCACTAAGAATTTTTGATAATTTATTTCACCCAAGAAAATAAATTATATTCTTGATTTGATGTATAACAGTAAACACATGTTTATTGAACTAAATGGAAGCAAATATAAAATGTGTTTAGCATGTCTCTTTTTTATTACCAAGCAATGTAGGCCTAGTGTTCAAAACAAAGTTTTGATCGGAAAAGGAGAAAAGGGTGGCTCCCTAAGTCCATCATCCCTAGTAAACTAATAATTAACATTTTGATGCATTTTTTTCTGGATATGAAAATCTAAATACACATTTAGGTTTTTATAAAATTAGATCATTTTAGAAAGTTACTTTTAAATATTTTCTGCATTTTACTTATATTCTAGGAGAAAACCAAAAGCTAAGGCACCACTTCCTCCTGCTGAAACCAAATTCGTGGATGTCTCTTCAGTTGATGATTCAGTAACATCATCTGCTTTGGTCATGGAACAGAATGAAAACATGATAGATAAAGACATTGAACTCTCGGTGGTTCTACCTGGGGATATTGTCAAATCTACTACTGTTCATGGAAGGTATGCTGCAGCAAATATTGGACCTCCCCTTTTCTACTATTGAAGCCTTCTGTTAATGTATGTCTTAATATTTTTCCTATGATAAAATACTTCATCACTCAGTTCAGTTACCTATTTTTTTTTGAAAAACAATTGCTAAAGGGTATTAAAGTTTTTCTACCAGTATTTTAATATCATTGCTATGAATCCCACCCACTCAGTCAAGTGACTTAAAATTTGGAATTGTTTCCTGTCTTGTTGTTGTTTTAAATTTTAGAAACTAATCCTGTCTTAGAAGAATGGTCATCACTTATACTGAATTTGTAAGTCAAGCTTACAAGTCAATGATATGTAAGAAGTCCTTTCTCCCCCCTCCCAGTTCTTTTTTCCACTTACTGATTTTGCAGAAGTTACCACCTATTTCTAAAATTAGTAGGATTTTTAATTCATTGATTTAGTTTAATTAATTATAAGCTGTGGATGAGTTTAATTTATTAATTAATTAAAAACTTTATCTCTGAAAGAAGGGAAGATGTGGTTTAGGAGACTTAATAGTTTTAAATGCCTGCATAAAAGTTGGAGAAATGGAACAAAGCCAAGTGTAACTTTCCATTTCATTCTGAAGTGGAAAGTTACACGAAATGTATACTTGATCTTGTTCCACATTTTACCTTCAACTATACATTGTTATCCAAGAGTATGTTTGAGAAATTGAAGCTGTTTTGACCTTAATATAGTGTGCCTGTGTGTGTGTGTATCTGTGTGAAACAAAAGAAAAAGTAAGCAGTGAACTATGTATTGCTTTCTTATAATCTGGCTATGTAGGGAACTCATTCAAGATAACCTTAATTTTTAAAGAAAATTACAAATTATTAAAAATAGGTGAAAATTAAACAGTTTAGTTTTAGTGTACTTTGTATTAAGTTCTCACTAAGTTTAGTAAGTTGCATTTTGCCACTTGTTGCTAGTGAAAGTAGTTTTAGAAATCACACATTAAATCTCATCTATGAGAAGGTGAAACCTACAAATGTCTATGGTGGGCTCCTGTCTACACCTTCATTTTGACTCTTCTGGGTGAGGAAAGCATCTTTGAAGCTAGAAACAATGGCTATCATCTCAATGCTTAAAGTAATTGATAATGAGTGTGACTGAGGGTAACAAAGGAAATTCCTCTTTGTTTCCCTGAACTCAAAAAAAAAAAAAAAAGTCAACTTTTTTCCTAGTTCTTCACTGAAATTGATTAATCACCAGTACACCCCAGAACATCTTCTTGGACACACCCATCCTCTCTATTTTTTTGTCTTTTTTCTTTGCTATCAGACAGTCTCTGTTTTCATTTAGTCTGTTTTTAAACATCAATGGCTTTAATATCAGAATCCTGGGTCCTGTCACCCATTACAATAATCTTAGGCTTTTCCACATGCTGCCCTTCACTCTGGGAACCTACATTCATAGTCAACTTGCCTTACCACGAGGGAATGGTAGGCTCTTAATACTTTTTAGAACTTTCCCAACATGGAAATTTTAGGGCTCCCTCTTTAACTCGACCTTTTAAGCATCTAGCTTATCCACTTTCTGTTTCCTACTGAATTTATTCTTCCTTAAGTCTAATTTATAACTGGTCCTTAAGTTGCTGAACTTTCTTCACATCTAAGTTTTCCTTGTATATAACTGACAGGTTCTGCTTCAGTCATTTCTACTACATTTATACTTATCAGAATCCTAGACTTTTCTCACCCTCTTGACCTAGCTCATTTGCTTCTCTAGTCCATAAACGTGAATAATTTTCCATCAATCAACTTTTTGTTTCTGGGCCACCAGCTGTTGTTGAATTGCTGCAGTTTTCTTATCTGTGAAAATAAACATATCATGCCTGAATTGTTAGGATTAAATAACCACCATCTCTTGCTAGGATTAAGTGAAATACTATCAGTGGTTGGCATATATTGGCTTACTCAATTTTTTTTTTCAGGGAGGGGGATGGTCCTGGGGATTGAACCCAGGGTCTGGCACATGCTAGACAACTGTCTACCACTGAGCTACATCCCTACCTCTGTTCTCTGTTTTCTTTAGGGAGATGATTTTTTGTTACCCTCAGCTCTCTCCATTTACCCTGTACCCACAAATTAATCTGACTAAAACATCTCTCAGTTTGTGGCACTACCTTTGATAAAGGTTTGCAGGGATAGCAATTCAATACCAAATGAAGTAAGTCAGACTACCAAGTGTAGAGATTGGGATGGGTTATTTTCTTCTCTGAAATTAAGAAGGCTTTTTCTTTACTACTTTTGCTTATATCTTAAACTTCACCACATAATTCTTTGTTCTTTAACAGACCCCTTACTTTCTCATCTCCATGTCTTTGTAAACATCTCCCCTCATCCCCTGCTGGCAGAATTTACACCCTCATTTACTCAGTTAGCTTATGTAGCTCAAATTACACTTTTTCTATAAAGGCTCCCTGATATCCCCAGCATCACCTGTTTCCTCTCACTTTCAAATTCTTCTATCTACTGTGGGCATATTGTCCTATGCTATAATTTATATGTATACCTTCTCTCCTTCAGTAAAAGTAAACCATAAAAGCCACAACAGGGCATCATTATTTTCTCCATAATGCTTAATATAGTTCCTTGCAACATAGTAGGAATGTTATGTCTTCAAACCCTTATATAGAGAGTAGCAGTTTAAACAGTGTGCTTTTAGGAGGCATTTGGGATGGACCCTTATTGTTTTCCAGAGTCCTTTACTTTAAGGAGAGAAATAAAATATTTTATATAGAACACTAGTACACTCCTGTATAAGGGATGTGTATGTTTGAATTACTGTTTTCTCCAATCAGCTCCTTGCCTTACTAAAAACCAGAATTGAAGGATATTGCTGCTATAGACAAACTGCCTAGATAGAGGCTTTCTTTCTTAGAAAATCCTGCCACTACTTGGAAAAAGTTAATTTTTTTTTTTCAATTTCTGAGACAGAGTCCTGCTAGCCCAAGCTGACTAAGAATTCTCAATCCTTCTGCCTCCTCTGTTCCCCAACCCTGTGCCACCATGACTAATGGAAAAAGTTAACTTTTAATAAAAAGGAGCTTTATTCTGAACTATCGTAGACACTGTATAGAATATGTGGTACCAGTGGGGATCGTTCTGCATCCAGGTGCAGTCAGGTGTCTGCTCAGTGTGTCATTATTCCTCACTGAGTAAGTCTTAGTTCCTTTTCCTTCTTTTCTCTCTTTCACAGGCATGTACCTCTAAAACAAAATGTCCAATTTAGGAAATTTGATAAAAGGTTGACATTAATACCCCTTTTTAGGCTATGGGATAATATTCCATGGCTATACTAGTACATTTTTCCTACAAGAAGGGAGAAGGAAAAAACACTTATAACAGAGGATGATATTTCTCTCTTTTATCAAAAATGAGAATTGGTTTTGATCAGATCTGAGAATGTCATGAATGAAGACACAAGAAAGCAGAACTTGAAGCTTGAAGTTCCAACTAAATGATGTAGTTTGCTTCATAACTTCCTGTTACCTCACCTTCCAAAACTGTCATCTCACCTCCCTGGGCTTTTCCTGTAAAATATCCAAGAGACATTTTGAACATAACTTGTGGCCTAATTTGTGTGCCTAGTACCTTTAGTGGTTCTGACTGATAAAGAGTGGGTCAGCTACAGAACTCGGGAGCATTTCACATGGAGTATAGCTCCACCTGTTGGAAACAAGTAGACTACTAAAAATGACAAGGTAGATGATTGTAGTTCCTGTTTAAAACAGTAACACAACAGTATGGGATTTAGATGAATTTTAAAAGCTCACATCATACTTACATTTATTAAAAAATTTCAACATATCATACTTGTATTTATTGAAAGATTTCAAATTGTGACAAGTGTGATAAATAATGTCTATAATATGTTAATTTTTAAAATATTGCTAAAGTTTTGTAGTATGGCATGTCATATTTAATGCTTCAAAAGAATGCTTAAATTTTAGTTTTGTTCATTATGCAGCTGTGGATATGTGAAACAAAAGTTGGAATTTTAACTGTTACAGTATTTAAGCATAAGAACACAAGTTGAATTTTTAATTGGCAGGATTGAAAACTTACCATCTAGGCTCTGGTACTGCTCCCAAAGCCCCCTCTGATGGTCAACTGCTCTGAGGAAATGTGTGGCAGATGTCCTCCCTTCCCTTTCCTAGTGTCCTTACCTTATTGCATGGCTCCTTTCAATTTTATTTTGAATTTTGTATGATGACAAATGCAATAACTGAACATTTTAGAAAGAAAATACACATAAGACAAAAAATTTAAAACATGATGTCATTGTCAAGAAGGTAGAACAAAATTATTAACTCTGCTGTACCTAACCTTCTACTTACATGCATGTACGTACATATGTATATATATATATATATGTACAACATACTTATATACGTACTTCTTTGTTTTTAATACCTGTGTAGCATTTATTTATTTAGGTTCTACCAGGGATTGAACCCAGGGCCTCACCATGCTAGGCAAGCTATCTACCTCTATAACCCAAGTCCTTTTGTTTTCACTTTGGTTTTGAGGCAGTCTCATTACCTTTTTTGCCCAGCTGGCCTCAGATCTGTCATCCTCCTGCTTCTACTTTCAAAACAGCTGGGATTACATACATGTGCCATAACCCCTGGATTTGTAACCTGCTTTCATTCAGTTAATGGTTTTCAAATTTCACATTTATAAAAATCTTACCTTATCCTTTGTCCATATTCAAATTGCCCTAGTTTGTGAGATATTTTTGTAGTATTTTTGTTTTTATATTAGTTGTGTATGTGTGTTTGGTAGGTATGTTCTGAAATCATAGTTTTTAGTTTTTATGAGGGTATTTATAATTAGCTATGAACATAACATCCAACATAAATGACCAGATAGAATCCATTGTAAAGTGGTGAATTCCAAGGAACTTTTAAACTTTTAACCTGTTTCTAGTACTTGATATAAAACTTTAAAATCATCTCTTATACCACTTCTAGTGAT